AAATAAAATATAAACAAGTAAATAAATAAAATAAAAGATGAACAAATAAGTGCAAATAAATAATAAATAATGAACAAACAAATAAGTACAAATAAATAAATAAAAATATAAATCAAGAAACCAATGATTAAAATAAATAAACAAATATATAAATAAGTAATTGTGGATAGATAAATAAATATAATAAAATAAAAAAAAAATAAATAAATTAAAATGCAAATAAGAAAACAAAGAAAAATAATGAATGAATAAATATATATATATATATAAATAAATAAATAGATAGATAAATAAACGAAAATAAGAAATAAACAAATGTGTAAATGAATAAATGAAAATAATAAATAAATAAATAAAATGAATAAATAAATAAATAAAATAATAAATAATAAAAAATAAATAAAAATATAAAAATAAATAGATAAACAAATAAAAATAATAAATAAATAAAAATAATAAATAAATAAATAAATAAATAGATAAATAAATAAATAAAAATAATAAGTCAATAAATAAATAAAATAAATAAAATAAATAAATAAAATAATAAATAAATAAAAATAATAAATAAATAAAGTTTTAATTGTCTTCTGAGTTATCTCCAAATTTGCTTTTCATCTTTTCCATTTCTTTTTGCTGCTCATCAATCAGCTTTGCACATTCAGCAGCAACACTTCCTTCTGCTGCTGCTGCTTCTGCTGCTGCTGCTGCTGCTGCCTCTGCTGCAGCGGGTGCTGCTGCTGCTGCTGCTGCTGCTGCTGCTGGAGGCTTCGTTGCTGCTGCAGCTTTCGCCTCTTCGGCAGCCGCCGCAGCAGCAGCAGCTGCCGCCGCAGCAGCAGCAGCTCCGCCGCCGCCGCCGCCGCTGCTGCTGCTGCTGCTGCTGCTGCTGCTGCTGCTGCTGCTGGGGGGTGTTCTGTTTGCTGCTTTGAATCCCCTTTTTGCTGCTTGGAGGGAAAGAACTTCAGCTCTTAAGTTGTTGATTTCTTTGATTAAATCTGCATTTTCTTTCATGAGTTTTGAATTATCTTCTCGGTGAGTTTTTGCATCTTTGGAGATTCTTTTTTTGAGTTGTTTAATTGCTGCTTCGAGGTGCTGCTGCTGCTTGGTTTGTTCTGCTGCAGCGTCTGCGTTGGGGGGCTTTGCTGCTGCTGCTGCTGCTGCTGCTGCTGCGCCGCTGCTGCGGTACAGCAGCAGCAAATCCTTCTTCAGTTCTTTCGGATTGTCCATTTGCTGCAGACATTTGCAAACTCCCCAACTTAAGTTGTTGATGACTTTTTGTTTTTGTTTGGTTTGCTGCTGCTGCTGCTGCTGCTGCTGCCGCGCAGCGAGCAGCAGCCGCTGCAGCTTCTGCTGCTGCTGCTGCTGCTGCTGCTGCTGCTGCTGGCAGCACACCAACTCCCGGTCCATGCACTTTATCTGCTGCTGCATCTCCTGCAGCTGCTGCTGCTGCGGCCCCGCAGTTTGCTGCAGCTGCTGCAGCTTATACCCTAATATGTAGTTTTGCTTCTCGAAACTTTGCTGCTGCTGCCGCAGCAAATAAATCTTCTTTTCTTTTTCCCCCAAAGCTTCTTCCTTTTGCTGCAGCTGCTGCTGCAGCTGCGCGCGGTCCTGCAGCAGCTTCTCCAGGTCCTTCAAACAATATTAAATAAATAAATAAATAAATAAATAAATAAATTGAATAAATAAATAATTAAATAAATATATAAATAAATAATAAATAAATGATAATTATTGAATTAAATTGGGGAGAGGGTTTTGGGAAAAGGGCGGAAACGAGCTGGAATCAAACACAAACCCTAAACCCTAAACCCTAAACCCTAAACCCTAAACCCTCGACGCTGGAGCCCAAGGCCCAACGCTAAGCCCTCACACCGCAACACCCTAAACCCTAAACCCCAAACCCCAAACACCAAACACCAAAACCCCAAACCCCAAACCCCAAACCCCGAACCCCCAACTCCAAACCCTAAACCCTAAACCCTAAACCCTAAACCCTAAACCCTAGAGACCTCTTTGAGTCTGGAGAACTTTTCTTCTTTTGCTCTTGTGGCTTCTTTTAGCTGCTGAAATTCTTCTGCTGCATCTTCATACTGCTGTCTGTACACCCCAGCTTGGCCCCGCACTTTTATTTTTTCTTTTTGAACTTCCAGAAGTTTTCTTTCGTACATTTCCTTCAAACCCTCGATTTCCCTGCACTCAAAGGGTTTAGGGTTTAGGGTTTAGGGTTTAGGGTTTAGGGTTTGCAGCTAGGGTTTAGGGTTTAGGGTTTAGGGTTTAGGGTTTGCAGCTAGGGTTTAGGGTTTAGGGTTTAGGGTTTAGGGTTTAGGGTTTGCCTGTCCGCGTCATCTTCTATTTGGTGCAGCAGCTGCTGGTGAGCCTTAACAGCAATTTCTTTTCTCTCTACTTCCGCAGTCTGGACTCTAGGGTTTGCAGCTAGGGTTTAGGGTTTAGGGTTTAGGGTTTAGGGTTTAGGGTTTAGG